AATGTTCCTTCTCGAGCATGTGCATAAATTGTAAAACACCCAATCAAACCTAAAATTTTTCATTTTCGCATCCATGCCAAGATCTCGTGAAATCACCCCTTTGCAATAACTCTGATTAGAAAACTGGCTGCAGTTGTGTCTGCCTTGTGGCTATCTTTTTCTTTTCGGCTGCAACCGTAGTTATTTGAAAATAAGGAATACCAATCAAAGCGCAGAGAAAAAAAATTGTTTTTTTTTGCTCTAGAAGAAAAAAAATGAAGTTTCCTTTATTACGGTTTTTCTTCATGCCCTTGAGTCCCTCCATGATATGCGAAATTCCGCTGAGGCAGACTCTCGATCGGCCGCGCACCTTTAGATTGGTTCAAGTTACCGGGTGTCTTCTGGATGGGTCAGGATTCTACAAAAAGCTGCTGATAGTAATTGGCCTTTAAGTCTACTACGCGAGAGCTGTTAAATTCTATGCTGTGGTCATTCACCCCGCTTGAATTCAGCAAGCGTATTCTTTTTTTTCCTGGAATTTGCGCACCCCAACTTCATGTTGCCGCAGGATCTTGCAAAGTTCCCCAGCTGCGTGCCCCCAAACGAACCATCGCAATCAGCACGTGGTGCTTATTAAACAGCCCACGCGCTTTCCTTTCGAACAGACTATCGCTTGGGGATGGAGAAGCACAGGTGCCAGCAATCCACCTGCCTCAGCACATTTTCATAAAAGCATGCCCGTGGAGTGTTACTCGCATGTCTATAACGACGGAGCGTCGTGCCTGAAACAGCACGGGTGACGTCAGTCGCGAATACGCCACACCTGAGCATGCGCGGCGACAGCGACGTGCCTGCCTTGCAATAATAATCTCTGTTTATCTCCACACATGTGGCAACCGCTTTGGCTTTCGAAAGCGCTCTGAACAATTTAGCAAAACAAACACACAAAGAAAAAAGATGAAGTAAAACAGATGTCGCTGTGATATGTCACGAGGTGGGAATATTTCTTTTTTTGTTTTAGTTTGGTTTCATAATGTTGACAGCGCTTCGACGGCCAAAGGAGTCATCGCGGCCACGGAGATAAAGAAGGGTGGAAACTGCAGGGCAGACATATAATAGGAGCTGCGCATGCTCAGATGCGGCGTATTTGTGACTGTCGATGTCGCTCATGCTGTTCCGCGCGCGATGCTCCGTGGTTATAGAAATGCAAGTTGAGCACTGTACATATTTTTACGGCGGATTCCAAGTCTTTCTTTAAGCTTTGTGTGTCGATGACACAACCCTCCCCACAGTGATTCCGGCAATCTACCCAAGATTTCTACAAGAAAAAGTGATTCAACACGTCTTCTTTTTTTCATGCATGTTTAGGCGACGGCAATCCGGCGCTGCACAAAAGAATTCATCCGGCGAAGTCTGGAGAAATGGCACCTAGGATTAAAAAAGTAACGAGTAACATGACACTGAACGTTAGCGAAAAATATAACGTACGGGCGTTGGCCACTACAGTTCCAACTTTGTAACGAGTACGTTACTAAGGTACTGAAAAAAGTAACAAATTACTGTTAATGGCGTCACTTGTAACCCGTTACCACCAGCACCGATGTCATGTAAACAGAAAAAAAAATTGGCGTATATTCACGGCTCATGACGGAATGATGTTTAGTGCTAAGGTTCATAATACCTACGTTGATTTGACCAGCTAGTATTAGGAACGGACCGAAGAATGAGTGGACGAACGCATGAACGAATGAACGTATGAACAGATAGATGGAGGGAGGATCTATTTTTAAACCATATGTTGGCTGTGCCTAAACCATATGTTTCCGCCTGCACTTCGCCTGTGTACAGTGGACGAACGGATAGAAGCCAGATTGATATGGTAAAGTCTTAAGAAGATTCGTATCTAGAAGATAAAAAAGAAGAAAACAGATTAGGTCACGTTGTCTGATCAGATGGTGACAGAAGCTGAGGCGTTGACGTGGCCTGCCATCAACGTTTGGGAGGCCAACATTGTTGGGGGTACCACGGAGGACGTTAACGCTTAAATGACTTCGTGAACGACATGCCTTCTCTCCCGGCGCGAAGCGGGCGCATTTTATCTGCCTAATCCACCTGCCCGTCTCGCTGCATAGTGCCAACGCCACCGCAGCTGCGTAATCAGTCCGCTAACGCGTTAGTGCGTTGTTTCTTTAAATTGTTCTCTAAAGACGCACTGTTATTTCTCTGTGCTTGCTGTGCTTTTGTATTTGTTCCATGTGCATATTATTTGGATTTATATATATATATATATCTGTGTGCATTGACGTTGCGTCCTCTTCCATACTGCTCGAAAAGGTGTCTCTGACAGTACCTATTAAGCCTGCTCTCTGAAGAAACTCCGTAATTAAAGCAATACTTCTTAAAGTGAGTATCTGCACTGAATACACCGCCGTAGAAGCCCATTTACCAGCATTGCTAGAAACTCAACGTGATCAGAAATTAATAAAGTATTATGGACAGGTCGCAGACGCTGGAACTCAAATGCTTCAAAATTTCTTATGCGTGGAATAGACAAGTTACACAACAATATAAAATGAAGCACTTGCAAAAATATACAAACGTGTCAGCATGACAAAATACAAAATCCCGCATCAAAAAACAGGAGTCTCACTAAAAAAAATATTATCGTTCATTTGCGAGCTCTCGTAGACCTCACTGCTGCTTCTCTGGTGTAATTCATATCTCTGAGACTTCATTGTATATGCACCGCAAATGAAGTTCACGTCAGCTAGTGACAAATGATGCAAGTTTCTTCAAGTACTTTTAGAATAATTTCATTATTCTTGCAAAGTAGTGTTCATGTAATATAATTTCTTTTGGTCAGTTGTAACTATTGTAACATAGTTCGTTTAGACTGCAAGAAAGATTCTCTTCTCGTTTTCGAGATAGAAAACTTGACACAGAATGAATAAAAATTATCTGATTCACAATCATAATTCGTTCCGCCGCATGAGCGATCACTGTCAATTGGTTAATTTTTATTGCTTTCACCTTATTTCCTAGTTTGGGCTAATGTAACAGTGGGTCTGCCCTGAGGACTGGCGCCAGCCGGAGTCTCGGGGAGATGTCGAGGAGAGGAGCCGGGAGCTGCTAACAGTGACTTTTATTTACATATTTACTGGTAGCGTGTTGCTACACGATCGGGTTAGTATCGTGGAAGCCCTAGAGCTTCCGTGAGCTTCTCGGAGCTTGTAAGAGCTTTCCGGGAGCGCCTCGGCGCTCCCATTTTATGTCTTGTCCTTCCCAGGATTCTCTGCAGGAAAACAATAGAGGCCAGAACAGTCCAATGAAAATTGCTATATTTACCTTCGCCCCCGAAAGGGGAAGGTGACACGCCGCCTCCTTCCTAAACCACGAAAGGGGGAAGAGGCATGCCCAGTTCAGCCTATGGCGAGAAAGAAAGCACTTCACACCACACACAACACAGCACAGCAAGAAGACGTTGAGTCTCACGTAGAAGTCAATTTCGCAGTCTCTTTCAGTGACGGCGCGAGGCAGACCACAAATTGTGGAAACAGCGGCATCAGGGTGGCGCGGAGAACGCGGGAAAGGCATCCGCAGACGGTTGTCAGACGCTGGGTCCTATGCCCGGGGCACCTTGACGACAGAGCAAGCCGCCTCGACGGCCAACAACTCTTCCTAATTTGTCAGTCGGGCAGGCGTGTCCAAAGAGTTTTACGAGGGGCGCCGACGACCTGGGATAGCTAGAAGAACGATTTCTCTGTTGTCGCCACTCTTGATGCATCTCTGGGAGCACTGACACGGAAGAAATAAGGGTAGGCTCAGCCACAATGTCTCATGCGACAAAGCGGCATCAAGCCAGACAGGCCGATCATAACAGGGCTCCTCCTGTCCCTCGGTTTTCGTTGAAGTCGTACATGGTCAAGTTTTTCCTCTTTGAAGACAAAATATGTTTCACCAAGTATCGCAACAGTTCATGCTTCTGAAGTTCAACAAAAAGCAATTGTTACCGTGATTCAATTACTTTTTAGGAGTAATTTTGTCATTCATGTTTCCGAGTTACCATTTTTGCCATATGGTGGTACTTCTACAGTTGACGCACACGCCCTTATTGTTATCTCCACTTATTGCTTCACACTTGGTTAGTTTTGTTGCGGGGGTGATGTACTTTCATTTACAGCTAACTGCGTTTAGAATGTAACGACCTCGCTCATTACATTTATACTCGCTTGTTGGAGGCACCTGTAAGGCAGCTGTAGGTTTTGGCCGACTCAGTGTTATGCGTGTGCCACAAGTTGGACGAGAAATCGTTGTAGGACACAGCCACCTTTTATTCACTGTTTTTTTATCTACCTGAAGCTTTAGCAGTGGCACTTTCACCGGACAGACGAAGGGCTGAAAGAGTGCACTATTCCGTGCATGTTTCGATGTGATTGTAAAATAATAGCGAACAAAAAGGGAAGAACGACACACAAGCACATGAAGCCAAACAAGCCCCAACTTTCAACAGCTTTATATGCACAAACATAATCTATAGAGCTGAAACATCCCAAGGGACTGATAATCACATCATGCGCCGGAATTCATGTTATTATGAAGGGTCCACCACGGTGTAGCAGTGAATGGCTATGGTGCTCGGATGTCAACATGAAAGTCACAGGCTCGATATTAGCCATGTTGGTCACATTTCAAACGGAGGTGAAATGCTAGAGGCCTGCGTACTGTGTGATTGACGTCAGTGTACGTAAAAAAACACCAGATGGCAAAATTTTCCTGAGCCCTCCACTATGCTGTTGCTCATTATCATATATATTAAAGCTAGGACATAATATACCAGCTGTTATTTGTATTGATTATTATTATTGATGTTATATTTATATTCCTTGGCTTTTTGGCCTGTAAGTTTACGATAAAGAACAAGCAATCGGCCCAATTTACCAGCATTGAGCTTTGACAGCCGTAGCCGGAAATAGTGAGTGGCTTTGTGAGTTCGGAGTTGCGGCCTACACAACCATGACTCGAATGGTGAATCCCACGCACCCGCGTCATCACGTGCGTGCAGAGAAGTGAAAGTCTTGCCACATCTGATTGCAAAAAGCGCAGCTGCCATGGTAATGCCTGCTCTTGTGGAAAACGTCTGCAGCGACTCGGAGTCCTGCGGAAGATTAGTCATCGGCACATGCTTCGTCTACCTGCATGCACTGAATACCAACAAAGCGACATTGAGCTCGGCATGCACACTGCTCGCAGAAGCCGACCACTACAAAGGTATTTCGCAGCCGAAGCGAACCTTATACGCCAGAAGCACAACGCAAAGAGGAAGGCTCAAGATGCATTGGTGCTCAGTTATGCTCCTGATTCTCTCTGTACTATACACCGGTATGTGTGTTTTAAGTAATAATAATTATAATAAAAATATAATAATAATAATAATAATAACAATGATAATAATAATAATATATTGTTGTAATAACAATAACGGTTTCCACATACTTTATTGACGATATTACAAAACTTGCTAACTCCGGCTATAACGCTATTGAGCAGGTACAGAGAAGATTCCTCAGCATTTCCAACCATCATTTCGCTAAATATGACTGAGGATCTTATTGTAAGCCTTCTTGACTATTAACAATTCCATCGCTTTGTTGCCGATGAAGGCATGCTGACTTTACAATCAAGTTCATTGTAGAATATCCTTCCGTCTACTGCTCAGTTGTATTACCTTTTGAATTCCTCGTAAGTTAGCCAGAGACAATCAATTGCTCCATGTACCTGCCAACTACTTTTAACACTCCCCCTCTCACAAAACACAAAGACTATATAATTTATTTTTTATGATCTCGTTGTTTTTTGCAGTCCACTTTCATTGTTTCATACAAGCTTTGCACTGTGATAACATAGTTTGACACAATGTACAAAGTCTTCCCTCTTTGTGTTTGAGTAAACCTTCGCATTATTTTGCACTTTTCCTATATTTAAACATTCATGCCGTGATGATGGTCTAGTCTTTTTAGCAGATTTTTACAAGTAATGAAAAATTCAAGGACACGTGCTTCGCTATATTATTTGGCTCGCGTGTTCTAGGAAACCTCGACTACCGATGAGCAGCGTTTCCTCAGCATGCTCAAAAAGAGTCGCAGGGTCCTTTAATGGAGAGTTTCTTTGTATAATAATATATAATCGCGCAAAAAAACAAATACAAATAGACGAGAACTACACAGGACAAAATCTGAACGGCCGACTGAAACATTGATTGCGCATAAACTATGGTTAAACAAAAAATTGCCATACCACGTGTACTTAAGAGGATGCATCGAAAATACCATAAAAAACAAAACAAAAAACAAATTTTTGACATGACTCGTTGCAGACATATTACTTCGAGTTCATGGGAAACGCTTTGCAACGAATTAAAAAAGGGACGGATTGCTTTTTTGCAATAGCAATGAGGTGTGTTTTGGACTTGCAGGAAGCCTGGTCCTCGCTTATGCCGAAAGCAGTACCCTTTAATTTACGGTCATTTCAGAGCGACGTGTCCTTGGTATTGAGAGAGAGAGAGAGAAAACATTTATTGAATTAGGCTTGTGAGTGAAAGTGGGAGGGCCCCTTATTCCAGGAACCCTCTGGCCTGGACAGCCCGCTGGGCTCGAGCGACAAGTTGACGCTGCTCGACCAGGTACGGCTGGGAGATCGCGATCTCCCACGCTTAACTGAGGAGGTTTTCGTCAGCATCTGGTGCTGCTGCTTGTAGCATTGAGACGGTTACTTTGCACTGCAGTAGGAGGTGCACCAGAGTGCTTGCCACATTGCAGTGAGAACAGATATAGCTGTGAAACGTTGGCCTCATATGGTGCAATTGTACTCCGTGGGTGAACGTGCTGCTTTGAAGACGCCTGTAGGCAGTGCGTTCGTCTCTTGTGAGTTTTTGATGTGGCGAACGGTATGACTTGCGTTCGAGCCGATAATGTTGCAGTAATGCATTATACGTTAGTGGTATACGGGTTCTTTTGCCTCTGTTTCTGTTGTTGAGAGGGAGATGCCTCGTATCTCATACGGGAATGCCCGGTTGATGCATTCGCAGGTTGGGGTGTGTGCTGCTTCATTTGCCTCGAGATATTCGTGACCCAGAACCCATACGATGCATGTGTAGGGAGGAGGATTGTCCGTAAGCTTTAGTAGCCTAATCGCCACCCTGGAGACCCTGCCTTTCAGGTAGTTCTGTGCCGCTGTTTGTGAGTCGGTAAAGACCACGATGGTATCCTCATCCTCTGAGTGGTGAGTGCTATAGCAGCGTGTTCAGCTGTTTCCGCACGTTTGGCGATGATAGTTGCCGATTCCAGTACCGCGCCTTTGTAATATGTCACGGTAATTGTGAATGCGTTATGTCCCGTATATTGGGCTGCGTCCACGTATCGCGCCTGCGGGTCATTGCCATGAATTTTCCGGATCATGTTAACCCTGGTGAGCCGCCTTGCTTGGTGATGTTGAGGATTGACATTTCGAGGAATCTGCCAAATTTCAAGGCCATCTCGGAGCTCCGACGGAATTTCGCCTTCGCGTTTTTCGTTGGGTTCTAGGGTGGTCTCGTATCGTGTGCGTCGAAGGCCGGCTTACCCTGTTAGTGACAGCTTGAACCTCTCGGCTTGGTTGATAAGGTGTGCTTCGGTGAGTTCTTACCACGTATTGTGAACTCGCATGGGGAGCAATTGGTCAGTTAAGGTGGCTGGCGGCAGTCCTAGGACAAGCTTTGTAGCAATTCGTATCAGCAGACTAAGCTTTTGTTTTTCCGCTGTCTTCAAGTTAGGGTAGGAAGTTGCGAAGGTTATGCGGTAGTAAAAGAGAGCTTGTACCACTTTTAGGGTGTCGTGCTCTTTGAAGCCGCTGCGGTGGTTAGCCACTCTTCGGATTAGGCGAGTGAGCTGTGTAACGATGTTCTGCAGCCGGGGTAGGGCAGCACGGCCAGAGCCATCTTTATGTATAGGTAGTCCAAGGACTCGAAGTTTGTCAACTTCTGGTATTTGGACTCCTTGTAGAAAGACTCTTGGGTCAGGTGCATCGTAGCTTGGTGGTCTACCGCGGGCGCGTGCCGCAAGTACTAACAGTTCCGTCTTTTCGGGAACACAAAGGAGGCCGCAGGTCTTGAGATATTCTTCAGTCATGTTAAGCGCCTCTTGAAGTCGGTCCTCGTGCTCACCCCTGCTTGCACCTCTGGTCCACATAGTGATATCATCAGCGTATAACGCGTGATGTATCCCAGAGACAGCGTCCAAGAGAAGTGGGAGCGTAAGGAGGGCCATGTTGAATAATAGTGTTGATGCCACTAAGTCTTGCGGCGTGCCCTTGTTAGGGAGTTGAAAAAGCTCGCTCCAGATACTGGCAATTGCTACAGTGGTTGTGTGGTTGGTGAGGAAATTCAGCATGTAGGCGTGTGTTTTGGCACGGCAGCCGACATCTTCAAGGCTACGCAGAATGGCTGCGTGGCTTACATTGTCAAATGCGCCCTTTACGCCCAGAGCTAGAACACACGAGTTACTGTGCTCGAAAAAGAATATCTTCCTTTACGTGCAAAAAGAGCTTTGTGCGCTGAACATTTGGCAGAAGCTGAACATGGTGTTTGAGGTTTATGGTGAGCCGCTTGTTTAGTATGTGCTCAAAGGATTTCGCAGCACAAGACGTAAGCAAAGTGGGACGAAAATTCGCAATCGCGATTGGCTTGTTTGGCTTGGGTCACCTACGAGTGCTTCCAGACTTGTTGTAGCTCGTCCTTTTTCCAGCAGTCATTCTAGTGCCGAAAGAGCGCCGTCAACGCCCGGGGCGGTAGCTTTCGTAGGTGCTCAGTGGTCACCCTGTCTTTTTCTGGGCTTGTGTTGCGCGTAAACTTAGCGATGGCCGCGTGTAGCTCTGCCTGCGTGAACGTTTGGTCTGGTGCTTCGTCTGGCGATCATGGGTAGTCCCTGGGTGTCGAAGTGTTGATAGAGGTAGCTTGCTGGTTAACAGAGCCACGCAGCTTTGCTTGAAGTTCTTGGAGTAATGGGGCTTAGTGCCCTCTCAGTTGTACTTGAGCCGCTGAATTGAATGTCTTTGATTAGATTTAGTGTGGGTGTCATCGATAAGGGCTCGAAGAATGCGCCGAGTCTTCTTTGTGCTCAGTGTCATTTGAAGTGTGTCGCAGAAGGATCGCCAGTTCTGGCTCGCAAGGTTTTCCGCGTACTCTTGTGCCTGCTTGGTGAATACAGTGATGCGGCGCTTGAGCTTGTGGTTGAGCTCTTGCTGTTGCCATCGTTTGATAAGCAATCTTCGATCTTCCCATAGGTAAAGGATATGATTATCGACTGCCCGATTGTCCTCGTTCAAGTGTATTGTTTTAGTATGTCCATCAGCAACACTTACAATACTGTTTAACCAGGCTTCAATGTCTTCGATGGTCGAGTCATCGTCAAGGTCGATTCTGTAGGTGGTCCAGTCCGTGAGCCGAGCTCTTTCTGTCTTAAGCAAGCCGTGAGCCTGTTCGACCTCTATTGGAATGATGTGATGGTCGCGCCTTAGAGTGTCCGGTAGTCTTGTCCACGTTGCGTTGTGCACGTCTCTAGTGAACGTGAGATCGGGATTAGTACCTCTCGACACGCTGTCGCACTCTCGGGTTGAATGGAGCAAGTCATTCAACAGTGGCAGACCGTGTTGCTGTGCAGCGTCGTGAACATGCGCCCCTTTCTTGTTGGTGCTGTGATAGCCCCAGGTTGCGTGTGGAGGATTGAAGTCCCCAACTATGACAAGTCAGCTGCCGTTAACCATTTGACGGAGCTCGTGGACGAAGTGCTCGCATTGGTGTAACTGCTCCCGCGGAGGGCGGTAAGGGTTGGTCGGGTGTAAGCTTTCTTGAGTCTTCCGAGTTGGCATTATATCCACGATGGTATGTTCAATGTGAATGTCTTCGATTTCATAAGCCTGTGTGGTTAGAGCCTTCTTGACTAGAATTGTGGTGCGGGGTGAGCGTGTGAGAACGCTGTATCCAGGGGGGTTGATTTTTCTGTGTGGGGGTTTCCTGCAACGCAATCATATCTGGATTATTTGTTTTAACATATTCTTGCAAGTTTGCAAAACGAGGTCTCTAGGATCTGCACTTGTTGTGCAAAATTCGAAGAATGGGGATTGGCTCAGACGATCTTCGTGTGGGTGTTGCCACTCTGGCAGTTGACTTCCGCCTGGTGCCGGTCATTTGTTGCTGTCAATCGAATTACCACTGCAGTTTCATCCCCTATAGTCTTTCGCTCTTTCCGCTTGGTTCCTGATTGTTTCGCTAGCTGCTCATGGGTAAAACATTTTTGTATGCGAATGTTATGAAGTTATTCTGTTGTGCCATGACGCCGTCAAGCTTG